CTGCGGGGAACTCTGCAAAAAACGCATCTTCGCACGGGCAGCCCGTGCGTTGGCCATTTATTTCATCTAATTTGCCGACTTTTATAAATTTCAACTTTTTTTCGTAGGAAATCCCACTGGTTATTTTGATCCTGCAGATTTGCCGTTTATGTGAAAATACCCGTCACAAACGTTCCTTTGAGGATTTTCTGCTTTCTATATTTATTATTTTGACTCTTTCATCAGCTACTGTTTCATTATCGTGCTCATTCTTATCATTGATGCAGTTGGCAACTTTTTCATTATCCTATAGTTCGAGCTTTTCGCAAAAATAGTATTCTTTCATATTTTTACAGTCTTCTCACTACGTATTCATTAATCTTTTTTGCCTTTTAACAACCTGTCATCTTTACTACCTACATAACCCAGCGATTCTTTCTAGTGTTCATAACTACGGTGACATTACTTACGCAAAGCCAAAATCACAGTACTTCACTAGAAACATAATTCAGCTGTTAATACCTCCTCAGTTAATGATCTTTTGAGTGACAACTGCTTTCCCTCACATAGCATAATACCCCACATATTGCATCCGCTCAACGGAACTAATAACAGTAAAAATTGGAAAATGACGTTTCTACAGTTACCTTCACAGAATGCAACCGCTGAAAAAGATGTATCGCAACCTGATGTTTGCTGTCCTTTTTTGTAATTTATTCTGATTGCTGCATGTCAATCTGTTTTTCAGAACTTAGCAAAATCGAAGTGTCAGGATGTAGTATTTGCTGTATTCAGTTACTTTCAGGATGATAAATTGTTCAGTCGTCAAGGAAGCGGGTCGTATGAGGAGCACAGCACAATTAAAATGGGTCTTACGAATTCTTCATCGTCACCGCCGGTTCCACCCAAAAAACGACATGTTGTGCAGTACATGCAGGTAACCTATGTACTTTTCAGACCAGTACTGGTACAAATTAAAATGCTGCTCAGCCTCTAGCGATGCGAGTTAGTATCTGTTGCATTTGTTTATTCCCAGGTTGAAAAATTATCAAGTTGGCCCAGTTGCAATTTTTATAAGGGATACAGTATTTATTTAGAAAGCACGTTAGAATTTGTTCCAAATCGTGTAGCATAGGGAAATTATAAAAGCAGCTAAGCTTTTCTGAAATTTTTTGACCGGGAAGTGTAGCGGTTAGGACGTTGTTTGGACTGCAACTTGGAAAGATTGTCCATAAATTGTCCTGGAGAAACTAATCTCTGTTTGTTTTATTGATCTGTATTTTCTAACAAATTGATAAATTGGCTGTTTCATTCCAGACATTCGGAAACGAACGAAACGATCAAGATGATTTCTTTAAAGGCTCTACGCTTGCATCTTATGTTGTGCTTAACGACAATTTGCGGTACCACGAAGAGCAGTACAAGAAAAAAATCTCATTTGAATTCTCCGCATCAGGCTCGTAGCATTCTTGTTTTTACTTATGTCGTATTTAGAAATTTTTGTTTTTTTATGAATTTTCCTGAATTTATTACCTATTTCTCAAATATCCTTTTGGCGCAAAAAGAGAGTCACCACTTTTCCTAAATTTCCCAGTACTTCAAAAAATAATAAGCCCCCTCTAAAAATGATAGCAGTTCAGCTAACAAGGGCAAATTTTCACTTAGCATTCGCTTTGAATTAGCCACCGATGTTTTCAAAGTCCACTTACATTTTAAGCGCAAATAATTGTTGTCTTTGGTGTTGGTTGCAGCCGCTTTCCTCCGTCAAACAATACTGACTGATAGCAAGCTATATAATTAGAAGTAATAAAAAAGCCAAAAGTCTTTGCAACACATCACGGGTGAAAACATTTGCATGCAAAAAACGCGTAAGAATCTTCTGTACGAAAGTTTGCATACTTTGCGAAACTTAAGGACGAGTACTCCCTTGTGCTTCGAGCTGAGTAAGCCATTCTTGCGCTGCCAAACTATTACTCTGAAGTGTCTGTGTAGAATCTAATGGAGAATTTACTGTCCACTTTTTAAAGCATACTTGTGAGGAAAATAAATTTTACTTACTTTTATATTGCTGTGACATATAATTTATTATTGCTGTTATACCATTATTAGTAGTGGTAATTATAACAATAATATTGGTAGCAGTAACAATAATAATAATCAATATTATCATTGCTGTTGTTATGAGCTTTCTTTAACGCCGTCAATATACTATA